ACTTGAACGCAAAATTTGATGTCATTCCAAATAGTTTAAGTATGTTTCAGTGCGTTGGGAGTAAATTGAAGAACTTGAAGTTAAAATTTTTTGATTCAATTGATTTGGGTGTGATTCTTAGTTTTGATATTGTTTTGTGCGTTCTGAGAGTTTGAGTGAGTCCATTTATGATTACAAACTTATTGGTATGTTCGGACGGGGCCTCGGGGGCACCGAGTGTTAATCGGATGAGGCTTAGACCAAGCTTGGACTTGGGAGCACCACCTAAAGCTTTCGGCTTCTACTGTAATCGCACCTGTGGAGGGCCAGCTGCAGGTGCAAGCTCGCAGAAGCAGCCCAGGAAGGGCAGCCCAGGAACCGCAGGTACGCCCCACGCTCCGCAGAAGCGGGACCCTGTCCGCAAAAGCGGAGCCACAGCCTTTGGCACTTATGCAGAAGCGGACTTCGGTCCGCAGAAGCGATGCTTCAGGTGCGGCCCTGCGACCGCAGGTGCAGAATCGCTAGAGGCAGTGTGATCTTTTTAAAATGGGACTTAGGCATTTTTGCTCATTTCTTACACTTCTTGGGGGTGATTTTGGAGCTAGTTAGAGAGGGATTTTCATCAACTAATTGAGGTAAGTAATTTTTACCAAATGTGTTAAATACATAGTTTATGGGTAGATTATAACATGTAAATTAGTGAAAATTATGGGTTTAGGTGAAAACCTAGGGTTTTGATAAAAATAGGATTTAACCATGAAATTTCGTGAAAATTATATATTTGAGTTCATAGGTTATGGGTAACAACTTTCTTCAACAAAATTTCGGAATCCGGGCACGTGGGGCCGGAGGTGAATTTTAGGAATTTTTCAAATAGGGTTGGAAAAATCACTTTGATAGTTAGGATATGGACTTTTGAACATGTATTGACTATTTTATATAATATTTTACTAGTTTCGAGTCGTTTGGCACCAAATTGAGGGTTGATACATAGCTACTAATTATGCTTATGTTCGGGTAGTCTAGGACCCATACCATGCTATATTTACGATATTTGCACCCTACTTGTTAACTTAATTGGAACTTGATAAAGGTTAAATTTCATTTACTTAAATTCTTGGGTGGGCCACTTGACTGTTATTGAGAATTGACGCTTCTTTAAATATTAGCCTCTTAATAAATCTTGAATCAGCTGTTATAAAGTATTTTTTTCTTTTCGTGGAGCGTGCCGAACGCCTCGGTAGCACATAGATGCATCTATGATTCGTGTCGTTCGATCCTCGATAGTGCACAATTTAAATATCTTATGTTGGATCGGGTCGTATGACCTCGGCATAAATTGTGCGTAATAAATCTTTGGAACCAATTATAATTGATATTGCTTCATTGGCTTGAGATATAAATTGTTAAATGATGGGAATAAATTTACGATTTACTATTAGTGAAAGAATTGCCTATTATTTCATTTTGTTGAATTTTCAGCTATGTTTATGTAATCTATGCTTAGTTATAATCTTGACATTTTATTGTTAGCCCATAGTAAGTGTCAAAATTGACCCCTCATCACTACTTCGAGGTTAGACTGGATACATACTAGGTACATGTTGTTTATGTACTCACGCTACACTTCTGCACTAAATGTGCAGGATCTGAGGCAGGTGTATCTGGATATCAGTCCAACGTGGATCCTTGACTACTGCTACGAGGCTTCGCGGTGAGCTGCCTTCTGAGCATGTTTTGCAGCAGCCGAAGTCTTTCTTTTGCTTATATTTTTTGTCTATTCCACTTCGGAGAGTAGTGTAGTATTCTTTTGTATATTCCACTAATTGCTTATACACTTGTGACACCAGGTCTTGGAGGTTTAAGCTAATAGACACTTGATGGTTTTTGAGTTATCTTGTTTATCTCATTGCTTTAAAAATCTTGATCTCTCATTTTTTATTAAATTCTTACTTCTTGTTTATGCACAAACTAAAAATCAACTATTTCAATTCTTTAAAAGAAAGTATCACAAAGTTAGTTCACTATAGGCTTGCCTAGCGGCAACGTTGAGCACCATCACGGACTATAGAAGAAATTGGGTCGTGACACTAAGTAGTGGATATGGTATACAAAGTGAAATTCTGGGAAGTGGGCCTATGAATACTGAGAGCAGCTCTTTTTTGTCAGCAAACAACTCAAATGTGAAGTTTAGAAAGAACACAAATCTGTTTTGTGATTATTGTAAGATGAAAGGACACACAAGAAATAATTGCTATAAGTTGGTAGAGTATCCACCAGGTTTTAAGTTCAACAACAAAAAAAGAGGTGCTAATGACAACTACACACCTGTAGCACATAATGAGAGTATAATGGAGGAGACTAAACACACATGAACTGATGGAATTGGTATGATAAATGGCATGATCAATGCAGCTCCAATTTTTACACATGACCAGTATCAACAAATACTCAGAATGTTGAGCAAGGAAAAAGGACCAGTAGAAGAAAAAACTCTAGAATTACTGACCAAATTAAGTGGATCATTGATACTGGTGCTTCAAATCACATAGTTTCATCGTTAGATCTGTTATTCTGTCCTAAACTTGTTCCCCATTCGAAATCTACTTCAGTCCATTTATAAAATAGAGAAAGTACTCTGATTACACATACAGAATCATGTGCCCTGTCCAACACTCAAACTCTATATGATGTGATTTATGTGCCTAAGTTTTAGTATAATCTGTTGTTAGTGTCCAGATATACCAAGGAGTTGGATTGTACAATTTCTTTTTATCCTAATTTTTGTCTCTTTCATGACCTCTTCAGTGGCAAGGTGAGAGGGATTGGTAGCCTCAAGGATGTACTCTACATCCTCAATCCTTCAAAACCTACTGCACCACTCACTTCCACCTTATGACCACTAACCAGACTACATCCTCAACTATGTTATGGCATCAAAGACTTGGCATGCTCCTTATTTAGTTCTTAAGAAAATACTTACAATAAAGACATTGTTGTCTAATTCTAGTTCTTATAATTATCATGTTTGTCCATTAGCCAAACAGACTACTGCCTTTTCCTACTAGCATTTCAAGATCAAAATATTCGTTTGAACTTGTTCATATGGACATGTGGGGTCCTTATAGAGTAAATACTTACAATGGTTATAGATATTTCCTGACGCTTGTTGATGATTTTTCAAGAATGACTTGGACCTTTCTCTTAAAACTGAAAAGTGATGTTCATGTGATTCTATCAAATTTTCTTCATTTGGTAGAAAACTAATTTTCTTCTACTGTCAAGATTTTCAGGTCTGATAATGGCTATGAGTTCTTCAATTCTCTTTGTTCTAATCTATTTTAAATCAAAGGAATTGTTCATCAAGGTAGTTGTGTCTATACTCCCCAACAAAATGGAGTTGTAGAAATAAAGCATAGACACCTACTTGAAGTAGGCAGAGCCTTGAGATTTCAAGCCGCATTACTTTTAAGACTGTGGGGTGAATGTATTCTGGCAGCTACCTATATCATTAATAGATTGCCTAGCACTGTTCTACATGGAAAGACTCCTTATGAGCTTTTTCATGGCTGGTCCCCTAAACTAGATCACCTAAAAATAATATGATGTCTTTGTTATGCTACCAGACTTGACTCTCATGAAATTCCAACTAAAATCCATTCCTGTTATTCTTCTAGGTTATGCTTCTACACAGAAAGGCTATAAACCATATGAACTTGACTCTGGGAAAATCTATCCCTCGAAATATTATCTTTAAAGAAAATATCTTTCCTTTCAAATGTCCAAAAGAGAAATTGCTTTCATCACAACATGATTCCTCAATACTCATGCCTATTGCTATTTCTAATGTCTTTTCTCCTTCTCCAACACTGGATCATGGGTTAGTCTCATCTACACAAGCACCGCCTACTTCATTACCCTCATCTCCCATCACCAACTTGCCAGCTTCACCTTTAGAACCTCACAGTCCTCCATTCACTACAAATTCATTTCCTTCTGCAGAGTCAATTCCAGCAGGCACCCTGCTCTTTTATTCTCCCATGGACCCTACTACCTCTGTTGAGCCTGGATCTTCTACTTCACCTGAATTACCTCCACCTAGAAAGTTAGGGAGAACTAGTAAATCACCAATTTGGTTGACTGACTATGTTCATCCACCCATACTATCCACTTCTTCTACATCTCATCCCATCCAACATTTTGTTTCCTATACTCACCTCTCTCCTCCTTTTAGAGCATTTCTTACTTTTTTTTCTGTTGATGTTGAACCATCATATTTTCATCAAGCTAGTAAGGATGATAGATAGGTTGAAGCTATAAAACTTGAAATTGAAGCATTAGAACCGAACAACACTTGGTCTGTAGTTGACTTGCCTGTTGGTAAAATATCCACTGGATGCAAATAGGTATATAAAATAAAGTACAATGCAGATGGTTCTATAGAAATATTCAAGGCCAGACTGGTTGCTAAAGGCTTTACACAATAGGAAGGATTGGATTTTCATGATACATTCTCTCATATTGCTAAGCTGACTATTGTGAGGGCTGTTATTGCCATTGCTACTCTCAAGCACTGGCCTATATTTCAGATGGATGTTCAAAATGCTTTTTTGAATGGAGACCTTGAAAAGGAAGTTTACATGACTTTTCCTTAAGGATTTAGTAGCCAAGGGTAACATAAGGTTTGTAGACTACTTAAATCCTTATATGGGCTCAAGAAGGCATCTAGGCAATAAAATTTGAAGTTCTCTCAAGCCTTGTCTTTGTCCGGTTTTAAGCGAATCAAGCATGACTATTCTTTATTTACTAGAAATATCGATAACAAGTTTGTTTTGATTTTGGTCTATGTAGTTGATATTTTTGTTACAGGAAATGGTTTGTAGGAAATTAAAATTGCACAGGAATCTCTTCATCAACATTTTAAAATGAAAGAACTTGGAGAAGTTAGATATTTTTTAGGTATAGAGTTTGCTAGATCAAAGGAGGGTATCCTTATCACTCAAAAAAAAAATGCATTAGAGATGGTATCTGATGTAGGCTTGGCAAGTTCTAAACCTAAAAAGACACCAATGGAGAAGAACTTGAAGCTGACAAGCACTGAGTTTGATACTTGCACAAACACAAGTAAGGGAGATAAGTTGCTAGAAGACAGAGGGAGTTATCATAGGCTCATAGGGAAACTTTTGTATCTAACAATAATAAGGCCTGATATCTCATATGTAGTGCAATCCCTAAGTCATTTTATGCATGCACCTAAGGAATCTCACTATGAAGCAACACTTCATGTAGTAAGGTACATCAAGAAGCAACCAGGGCTGGGGCTGTTAATGTCAAGTTACAACAAAGAAGAAATAGAAGCATTCTGTGATTCAGACTAGGCGTCATGTCCTATGTCAAGAAAGTCTGTTACTGGATACTGTATAAGCTTGGAAGTTTAATCATATCCTGGAAAGCTAAGACATCACATTATGTCTAGAAGCTCAGCTGAAGCTGAGTACAAAAGCATGCCACACACAGTAGATGAACTTGTGTGGTTGAAGGGTCTATTGGAAGAGTTGAGTGTGTAAAACTGCCCATGAAATAGACTATAGAAATAGACTGCCTTTTTATCCGAGAAAAAATTCAAGAAGCGCTGATCAAGATATCTTATATTGCCAGTCAAGAGCAACCAACAGAAATGTTGACCAAAGCACTTGGACATCAGCAACATGCAGCATTAGTCTCGAAGTTGGGAATGAAAGATATTTTTTCATTTTCAACTTGAGGGGAGTGTTGAAATTAGAGTTGTAAATAGTTGTACATTTCTGTATTTATGTAGTACTCTTCTAGAAGGTAGTTAGTTAAGAAGTTAGTTGTTAATTTCCTCTTTCACAAAGTAGGTTGTGTTAGTTAGGATAAATAGGTGATGTACAACTCATTTTCAGTTCAAGCCAATTAACAGAAAATTGCTTCTCATTTCTCTCTCTCTATCGTCTTCTCTGCTCTCTCTCTCTCAAGCTCACCAATGGCGGAACTTAGGGCTAGATTTCAACGCTCCTCAGGAAGTGTTTTGCCCACAAACGGCCGCACCCCCTTCGAATAAATAAAGATGAAGCTTTCTTTTCCAAAAACTATCTTTTTTTTGTTCTAAAGACTAAACTATTAATACAATAGTTGTATAAAATGCTAAGTAAATGAGCGAAAAAGAAAAGGGTCGATCCAATTAAGAATAAAAGGTCACATATCTTAAGTAGTATGATTATCCTACAAAATGATAATCAAGCCAAGGAAGACTCAATGGTAATATATATATTTCTTCACCCAATTGTACATTAAACAAACCATACATGAAGGGCAGTACTAATGTATGACATTCTCAAGACTAGGAATAACATAATAAATCTCTGAGCATAGGAAATTTCCAGCTTGCTAATTAACAAACACGAACACTATGCAACCAAAATTATTACATACATGAATCATTCACCAACGACGCCAAGAAGAGCTAAGAAGAGGTTGACGATGTCTCCGAAAAGGCAGATTGCTGCAATGACATATTCATCGTAGGTGAAGTTCCTGATTAAGTTATTTGTGTCGTATATGATATAAGCTGAGAATAGAAGTGCCGCCAGACAGCTATATACCATCCGTACCTCCCGTCCTAAATGAAGAATATACTGTTGCATTGGAAACCATCTCGTTAGTAAAAAGAAGATGTACATATTTTCGAATTCTAAGAAGAAATATATATATATGTGGATATAATTAAAGTGATATAGACGTACCTGGGCTAGAAGAAAGAAAATGAGGACTATGGATGCACAGAACAAGAAAGGACCAAGAAAGCTGAAGTCCATGCCTCTGCTTGCAGCCCAAAATGTGTAGAGGGTAAGGCTAACAGTTATAAGAACTGTCAGCCCAGCAGCCGTCAAGATAGTAGGCCCTGGAAACAAACGTTACATCAAAGTTTGAACTTTTGGGATCTTTGCACAAATAGCCGGTTAGATTCACTGTTTATTTTTCTTAAGTATACACTGATTATACATCGATTTTACATGGTTATACACATTATATATTGATTATACATCTGCCAACTATTTTTAGTTTAAGATGTTGGTGGGCAGCTATTTCGGTTAATTTTTCATTATCTTTAAATACAGTAGATCATGTTTCAAAATAGTGATGGGTTCAGAATATAAGGTTAAATTATCTAATCTTAATTATACTTTTATTTTGTAATACTTTTAATTTGAAATTTACTTATTTAGAAATTAAATAAGGAGTACTATAGCTTATGATAATAGAAAATATTCAATCTTTCTTTTTTATCTAAGAAAAACTTGAATTTTCAAAATTATGTCATACATAATGAACTGAAATGGGTATAAATTTGATTCTATTTTTGACTTGCGCAATTAGCGTATTTGGATTTTGATCAAAGTATTATCTCCTTAAATTTTTAAATGAAATAATTTGTGTACGTCAATTTTTTTCTGAAAAAGAAGAAGAGATATACTGGGTAGTTTCATTGGAAAACTGTCCCATTTTGTATTTCGACCGACAATCAATTAACAGTGCTGTGCAATACTCAAAGAAATGTTGTCCAGCCTAAGGCCCAATGACCTAATCCTATTTTTTTTTTTGTTTTCATTCCTATTCGGAATTTGATTTGGTGTTTATTCCTATTTTGAGTGGGTTTTGACTTTAAGAGAAAGCACCACTCATCATCTATAAATAAGACAACCTTGGAGAATTATTTTATACTCATTGATACAAGTCTTTGAAAGACTTAAGCACATAAGAGTGATTTTTGATAGAGCTTTCATCAAGAGAGAAGAGAGAAGAAAAGTATATGTTTTGTTGCAGATTTTTATTTCGACCAGCCAACTTGAAATCATGTTTTTGATTCGTTAACCATTGGATCGGGCTGCAATTTTGACTGAGTGTTCGTAACAACTTGATGTTTGATTTGAACGGTTGAAATCGAATTTGGAGGTCGTAGCATCAGATTTCGAGACTCGAACAATAACTTCGTTTTTGTGGATTCTCCTCTCTCTTCAATTGATTGGTTGCTTCTCTTGTTGCTATTGTTACTCCGTATTTGGCACTTGTTGAGTAGCCAATTTTGAAAATTTTTGTAACCCTCTTATTGTTATAGTGGAGGTTTTTGTATCTTTGTGATCCCGTGGTTTTTACCTTCGATTTGAATGGTTTTTTACGTTAATATTTGGTGTTCTTTATCTTCTTTATTTTCGGGTTTGCCTCTTTCTTGACATATCAGTGGTATCAAAGCCTTGGTTATTTATCCGGGTTATTACGGAATGGAGGAGAATATGAGCAAGATGGTATGTTTAAATGAGAGAAATTATAATGTTTGGAGAAGTAAGATGAAAGATTTGTTGTTCGTGAAGAAGATGCATCTACCCGTTTTTGCAGCTCATAAACCCGAGAGTGTATCTGATGAAGATTGGAATTTTTGAGCACCAACAAGTATGTGGATATATACGCCAATGAGTTGAAGATAACGTTCGCAACCATATTGTGAACGAGACACATGCGAGATCATTGTGGGAAAAGCAAGAGGCTCTTTATGCTTTAGAAACTGGGAACAACAAGTTGTTCCTGCTAAAGCAATTGATGACCTTTAAATACAAGGAAGGCAGCCCTATCCTTGATCACATAAATAATTTTCAGGGCGTCCTTGATCAGCTGTCTGGAATGGGAGTTAATTTTGATGATGAGATACAAGGACTTTGGCTTCTTAATACTCTCCAAGACTATTGGGAAACTCTTCGTGTTTCTTTGACAAATTCAGTTCATAGAGGTAAGGTGGCCATGAAATATGCCAAGAGTAGTGTGTTGAACGAGGAAGTAAGGAGAAAATCTCAGGGTTCGTCCTCACAAGCAGATATCTTGGTTACAGAAGACCGGGGGAGAGATAGAACAAGAGGCTCAAGGAATTGAGGTAAAAGTAGAAGTAAGTCAAGGTCCAAATACTATAATATTACATGCAACCACTGTGGCAAGAAAGGACATATCAAAAGGTCTTGCTACAAGTTGTTTCAAGACACTACAGAAGGAAAGAAAGCTGAAAATAACGAGAACGATGTTGCTGCTATTGTTCGAGATGACCTTCTTTTTGGTTATGATGAAAACGTCATCAATTTGGTATCCCATGAGACTAGCTGGATAGTAGATTCTGGAGCAACCTCACATGTCACACCAAGAAAAGATATCTTATACCCATGTTGATTCTGGAGTATTAAAGATAGGCAATGCCAGTGAAGTTAATGTGTTTGGTGTTGGCGCAATTTGTTTGAAAACTAATAATGGTTCAACGTTAGTTCTTTAAGATGTCAAGCATGCTCTAGACTTTCCTTTCAATTTGATTTTCGTAGGAAGATTAGACGATAGAGGTTATCATAATGCCCTCTTTAATGGCCAATGAAAGCTCACTAAGGGCTCGTTAGTAGTGTCTCGCAGAGTCAAGTCTGGTTATTTATATGTAACACAGGGCTCTATTATTAATGACTCCATAAATCTTGTGAATAGTGATACTTTATCAGAATTATGGCACCGAAGATTGAGTCATATGAGCGATAGAGGGGTTACGTGTTTGGCTAAGAAAAGTTTGCTTTCCGGATTGAAACAAGCAAAGTTGAAAAGGTGTATCCATTGTTTAGCAGAAAAATAGAAAAGGGTTTCCTTTCATAGCCATCCTCCCTCAAGAAGCCCGATTTATTGGAGCTAGTACACTCTGATTTGTGTGGTCCTTTTAAAGTAAAGTCAAAAGGTGGTGCACTTTACTTTGTGACCGTTATTGATGATCATTCTCATAAGCTCTGGGTGTATCATTTGAAATCTAAAGATCAAGCACTTGGCGTGTTTAAGGAATTTCAGGCCTTAGCTGAGAGACAGATGGGAAAGAAGTTAAAATTTATTCGCACTGACAATGGTGGTCAATATTATGGTCCCTTTGATAACTATTGCAAGGAACACAGAATTCGTCATCAAAAAAATCTACCCAAGATGCCACAATTGAATGGTTTGGCAGAGAGGATGAATAGAACTCTAGTTGAGAGAGTTAGATTCTTACTTTCAGAGGCTAAACTTCCAAATACATTTTGGGCGGAAGAACTTAACACTGTTGCCTATGTTATCAATTTGTCTCCTGCTGTTGCTTTGGATGGTGATGTCCCAGATAGAGTTCGGTTTGCCAAATATGCTTTTTATGATCACCTGAGAGTTTTTGGGTGTAAAGCTTGTGTGCATGTTCCGAAAGATGAGAGATCTAAACTAGATATCAAAACTAAGTAGTGCATCTTTATCGGTTATGTTCAAGATGAGTTTGGGTATCATTTTTATGATCCAGTTGACAATAAACTTTTTAGAAGTCGTG